TGTAACAAGCACATCATTGTCAAGAAGTTGAAAGCAATGATAAGTTGTTCTGCTAACACCTGTCAGTGAAATAACTCAGAGCACAAAACCCAGGCATTTAAGGAGTTGACAAGTATTATTAAACCTGTTTTGTAAGAGAAGAAGCTGGTTCAAAGAGGGAAAAGCTGTCAAAGGCAATACAATCAGAAAATGGCTCAGGCCTCCTGCCTCACACAGCCAGGCCCTCACATCGAGAGGCCCTCACCTCCTGCCCTCGTGGCCCAGGAGACTGTGGGGCCATCCCTGAGCAAGTGGTGGTGTTTCCTGCTGTCCAACTTAAAAATGTTGTGACCGTTTTCAAGCTTTGACTATGTCTTAAATTCAAATATATTTCTTATGACTGATTTTCTCTGGGTTTTTGCCCTCATTCGGAAATGTACACTATTTAAAATTTTTAAACGCAACAGCATGGTATTTCTACCAGTAGCGCCTTCCTTTTTTCCTTTGAGCACTTTAATCCGTCAGTCTTCGGCACCTTGCTAAACCTCCTATTTGAATTAGGACAAGTCACAGTAATGCTTTCATCCGGGGATGGCGCTTCATGCCAGTCCTCGAACTGGACCTTAATTTCGTGATTTCATTAGAGAAAAAAAGATAGGAAAGCCTAATTTAAAGTAAATTAGGATTTATAATTGGGAAATGCTTCTACCTGTTTGTGACTAACTTTCTCATTGCTCTCCACTCCATTTTCCACTCTCCATTTACTTTTATTAAAAAAATACATAAGGAAGAAACTGCCTTAGTGTGGGTCTAACAGAAAGCAGAGTATGAGACAAAGACTTAAGTGCACACTCTATTCAGGACTCCAATCCAGGGAGCAAGAGCAAGGGACAGGGACAGTGAAGCAGAGGAGCGGGAGGCACCCATACGAAGATGTTCGGGTTGGCCACCTGTACGGGCAACTGATCGCTCAATCCTGCAGGACGGCCTGAAGAACCATAGCAAAGAAACAGAAACCCGGGAGGGGAAAGAGAGTGGCATCAGGCAAGGCGCTGTTAGGCTGCACCTGCAGGAAGCCAGCGGGAGCCCGGGAAGAACCAGTGACTGGAAAAAGATGCAGGGAGGACAGAAGTAGTAACATGTGGTCTCCCATCACACACAACTCTATTGTTGCATGTACTTCCGTGCATAAGTATATGAAGTAAAACATGAATTTCTGCTCCCCACTCCCACCTTCTCATGGACACTTGTCATAACATTTTGTTGTCTATGAATTTACATATAATCTGAGAACGCACACATACAAGGTCTGTCGGGAAAAGGTCCAGCCATTGTTAATATAACAAGAATGGTTTGCAAGACATCTATGTAACTGGCAGCCAAGGAGAGTGGACTGGAAAGCACAAGCATGAACAATGATGACTTCACTGTACTAGTCAGTGGGGAAGGTAGATGCCTTTGAGTGAGCATGTGTACTGTGTGGTCATTACATTCAAAATGAATGAGCAAGTAGAGCAACGAATCTGCCTCAAATTTTGCTTTAAGCTTGACTGTTCCTCCACAGAAACTATTCAGACCATTGATGAGATTCAGGAAAATACAATGGGGCAGCTGATGACGATTAGAACTGTGTGAGGTCCCAGGGTGCCTGTTTGAAGGGAACTGAGGCATCGTTATCCTGTGTACAATGTTTCTTGTATCTTGTTCAATAAATGTTTCTATTTTTCATAATACATGGCTGGATACCTTCTGGACAGACCTCATATACCTTTTCCTTTTAAAAAACATGAGTCGGAAATACTGATCTCTTCTGACAGGTTTTTCTTTTTTAATTCATGTGTTACTCGCATTGTGGTTGGTTTTACCCATTGTCAGCAAGTCGATTTTGCCCCATAGGAGGCTCGGCGGAAAGCACTGACTTGACACTTGCTGAGTCGGTGCACTGGTGAAGGAACGGTAGTGTGAGTTCCAGTGGAGCTCTTGCCGACAGAGGAGGAGTGCGCGCACTTGGGGATGCAGTGGGCACAGTCCGGCAAAACACGGAATGGTACTGCCGGACGATGGAACAGCCATCCCTGCCCGTCTGCGCCTCCTTCCCGCCATCAACACTTCCCCAGCCTCAGTCCAGAAAAATGGAGACTACGCAAAGGAGGCATGGAAAAGAGATGGAGAAGAAAATAATTTTCCCTCTACCCTTCTGAGTTCTTTGACTGAGACCCCTAAGAGAAAAGCAAAGAAAAGTCTATTAACATGTATCCCTCGGGTATACATGGGAGAAGCCTAGGAAAAAATGGGTTACTCCTCAAGGTGACTTTAAATTCAGGATTAAATTCCATCTTAATAGGGAAAGGGGAAGTGGGCCTATTAGGGGACAGTCAGTGACTTTTGGGAAAGGCGAATTGCAATGCAGGTCTGGTGGTTTGTGACCAGGTGTGTCTCAGTGGGGTGTCGACTTCGGGTCTCCTCTCCTGCAGCAGCGTCAGTCTTCCCTGGTTGATGAAACTCCCAGGGATGCGGCTGATGACGCTCAGATTCCTTTTGGAGGATCCGCCTTTAGGAAGATATTGGGCGCACAGAGAAACTCTGTGCTGTTTCTCAAGTGCCTACAGCTCAAAATCATCATTGCGCCAGAGCAACGTATTTCAGGGTGGCAGGCCCTGATCTCCTACCGTCATGTTTGGGGTGGCAAACAATGCTGCCCTTGAGAGGTTAGGGAGGACGCTTATAAAGACCTGTTCCGCCAGCAAATGTTGACCCCATGTTAAGTGACAAGCACTAACGGTAAAGTGGGGAACACGACAGACTCGGTCCTTGTCCTCACGCAGGGGAAGTCCACAACTGAGAGAAGAAAGAGGGAAGAGTAGGGCAAAGAAGCAGAAGGGGGAAAAAAGAAAGCAGAATTCTAAAGGACTGAGGAATTTCTGTAGTGGCTAAATCAGTGCGGTGCCTGTGTTACTAATACACGTTCTTTAAGCCCAGCCCTCTGCTCCCGCATCAAACACGTAGGCACTGCACCCAATTTCACTCGTCCCCCACACCCCAGTGATAAGGTGGTGATACGTTTTCCCTCAGCTGGTGACAGAAATACACTGGATTCAAACCAGCGAGTGGTGACCCAGATCTAAGTGTACTGGAAATGTGGTGGAAGTCAGAGCTTTCTTTAGCGAGTCTTACTAATTAAATTATTTGGACTGTTTTTAGCCACCTTGGATATTTTTTCTTTTTAAAGTCGTTATGAATGTTGTTTGTAGCTGTATCAATAAGCCAAGAATTCACATAGTTACTCAACCACGCAGATTACTCATCATCGCCTGTTCATAACAGAATCCTAAAATGTTTAAGATTTCTGATGCAAATCAAAATCTCATCATCACTTGTCATTGCTAAATTAAGTGACAGGATAATAACATTACATTAAAACCATTTTTCTCTTGATTGAGTACCATTTTCAGAAGTGAACCTTGTAGATGTATATTTTTTTCATCAGTACTATAAATGCATTTAGAATCTGAGCTAAAAATAGAATAAAAAGGGGAGGAGTGGAGGGGATGTTTTCAAATTATTGATGAATCTCTCAAATCTCAAGCAACCATATTTGACAGTGCGGTGCTGGGGAATGGAGCCGTTTAGCTCGATTTACTGAGACTTAGAACTGCATGAAGGAGGTCACAGGTCAAACCTGGCCTTTATTGACACGGCCGAGTGTCCCTGTCACCAGTTGTACGGATCCCACTGCACACAGGCGGTTAGTGACCTGCAGGAACCAGCACCGCTCCGTTCCTCTAATGTGCTAAGGCACCGGTTGCAGATGGATCACAGCCTATGTGGGAAATGAATGTAAGTTCCGAATATGCCAAACAAAGTAGGTGCTCAGTTGACTTACCATCTCTCTCAGCGTTTCTTTTCTGCCTAAAGCTAATTAACCTTTCTGGTCACACTTCCCATCTCTCCTCCTGCCCCATCGGGCCCTTGGCCCACTTCTGTGTGGCCAGTCTTCCTGCCCCCGGACCCTCCACCCAGCACCCCTTTTCCATCTGAAAGTCTGCTGTCCTCCAAAGGTGTTGTCTCCTCACATCTTCCACCTTTGGTGTTGCGGGGATCATACATGGAGCACACCTTTTACTTTTGGCCTCATTTAATACTGTCTTCGTTAGGCAGTAACATGTCAGTAATAAATAACCTGTCGGTAAGAACCCTCAGTGCTTGGAGAAGCCAATGAAGGTATAGACGGAAACAAGACTGGCTATGAGTCTGGGCGACAGGTGGAGGAGAAATCAGTATACTCTTTTCTCTAGTTTTGTATGTTTGGGGTTTTCCACAGTAAAAATTTAAAACCAAACTTAGCTCTTTCAAATTCATTTTTTAAAACAGGTGCTTTTTTTTTTTTTAGTCAGTGAATGAAATGGGTCCTATACAGGGTGGGTTAGGATGGAAACCTGAACCCATCAGCTAATAGCCCACTCCCAGCCCACCCTCCAGGAAGCAAAGAAGATTCTTTGTTGCCTGGAACTGCAACTTCTCTCTCCTCCCTGGGTCCTGGACATGCTTGCCAGACCCCTGCCACCCTTCCTGCTTCGTATCAAAGTGACCAGATAAACCTGGACAGAAACACAAGTTATCTTGGCCCCGTTTATTAAGCCCCGCTATGAACAGGCTGCATGCTGGGCGTTGAGAGGGGGGATGTGGAGTTACTGCGCCCTGCGGGTTCCCCAGGGTTGAACACAGGCACCATGAACGACCTGATGCCGCCCGGACACTAGGACCTGTCACCTGGAGTAGCGCTGCGGTAGCGCAGGGCAGTGGGGGAGAGAGCAGGTCTGCCCGGCAGGTGCGTTCTCAGCAGTGACGCAAACTACTGAGTGTTCCCAGAAGGAAGAGGCTCCCTTTTCTGCTGCTGCTCCCAGCTCTGATCACTTAGAGCTCCCTCCGCTAACCCTCTGTCTCTTTTCTGAAGAACTTAAATTGATTGCAGTTACCAATGTTGGGTGTTTTTTTTTCTGTTTCCTTTTAAATTACTGTAGTCTTACTTCTCGATTGCCAAAAACCGGAGAAACTATCCATGGACATAAGTTCTTTATTGGCTTTGGAGGAAAAGGCGCCAACCAGTGTGTCCAAGCTGCCAGGCTCGGAGCAAAGGCGTCCATGGTGTGCAAGGTGAGTGTGAAGCACAGCGGGGAGTGTCCCAGGGGTACTGTAAGAACACGGTTTGGAGGCTTGAGCTCAGTGGTTTTATTTTTTCAACTATTTTAAAGTGAATGATTCAGTGATGTTTAGTACAATTACAGTGTTGTACAGCCACCAGAACATTTCCATCATTCCAGAACATAACGCCTTATATTAAGCAGCTTCTCCCCATCTCCCCCTCCCCTTAGCCCCTGGCAACCACCAATCCACATCCTGTCTCTATGGATTTAATCTATTTCTGAAGATTGCCTATAAATGGAATCATGGGATGTGACATTTTGTGTCTGGTTCCTCTCACTTAGCATGATGTTTGTAAGGTCCGTCAGCCTTGTAGCACGTGTCAGCACCGCACTCCTTTGTGGCTGAACAGCACTCTGTCACGTACGGCCCAGTGGGTTATCCATCTGTCTGCTGGTGGACACACGGGCTGTCCCCAGCTTTTGGCTGTCGTGAACAGTGCTACTGTAAACATGAGTGTGCATGTACTTGTTTGAATACCTGTTTATTTCTTCTAGAAGTTCATTGTTTCTAAAATATTTAAATAGGAGAGAGTAATCTTCCTTTTTTATTCATTAGTTTCTACTTCACTGGGAAGTAGCAGTCTTCAAATAACTTAATGCTCTGTTCCCTGAAGTTGAATTGAGTTTATAACTAGAGTGTGAGAAGAGAGGAGAATTAATCTACTCTGATGGGTTTTCTAGTCCAGCTTCTAAACAGCAGGAAGCCATTATGTTTCTAGCAGGTTTCACTACAGCAACATAGCTTATGGAAACTTGGCTAAATAACTGGCAATTTTTTCTGAATCATTTTCCTCTAATGCTCTATCTTGGATCAGAAGGAAATCTGGGCCTTACTGAACTATACATCACTGATCTTTAGGCAGAGTTTTGTTTTCAGGTATGTAACAAAATGTCAAACACGGCATCCTATTTCCATCCACCTACTGAAATTATCTGAAAATAAATAAAACAAAATTGGCTGCCAAAGGTTCCACTTCTGCATCTTTCATGAAATTTTAAGATGCTGCCATTACTGGTATAACAGGAAAGATACTTCCTTTATTTTAGGACGGCTAGACTGGTTTTGCACAGTAGAGCATAAGAAAAATATATAAGAAATGTAGAAGAATGAACTGTGTGCTGTCAACTGGGTGGATTTTACCAAAATTTCTCTGAAATGTCACTTCCTGTTGCATACAGCACTTCTGCTCCACGGGAGTCTAAATGACCCATAAACTACACAATTATCACTTCATTTCCTAATGAACTGTAACTTTATTTCTAATTTATGATTAACACGGTATAATACTTATCTGGCCATTTGGTCAAAAAGATCTCCTGAACAAGATTCAGTGTAAGAAACCCTCCTTTGCTAAGGTTGAGCTCTTTATATATTTAAAAGATCAATCACTTAATTGTGAATTTGTTATCGATGATCTATTATGTGCTAGGAATTATGGGGCTTGGAGAGAGAGCAATTCAAAAAGTTAGGTGTCGCCCTGGCTGGTGTGGTGCTCAGTGGATTGAGCGCAGGCTGTGAACCAAAGGGTCACTGGTTCGATTCCCAGTCACGGCACATGCCTGGGTTTCGGGCCAGGTCTCCAGTGCAGAGCATGTGAGAGGCAACCACATGTTGATGTTTCTCTCCCTCTCTTTCTCCCTCCCTTCCCCTCTCTCTCTCTCTCTAAAAATAAATAAATAAAATCTTTTTAAAAAAAGAAATAATTTTAAAAAGTGTTAGGCCTGCCGTTGGTGGCTCAGTTGTTTGGAGTGGCATCTCCTACACCAAAAAAATTGAGGGTTTTATCCCTGGTCAGGGTACGTATGTCAGCTGCAAGTTCAATCCCCAGTCAGGGCATGTATGGAATAGATGTTTGTCCCTCACACCAATGTTTCTCTGTCTGTCTGTCTCTCTGTCTGTCTCTCTCTCTCTCTCACACACACACAATCAATAAACATCCTTGGGCGAGGATTTAAAAAATAATTAAAAATAAATTAAACTGTTAGGCCTCATCTATCTTCTACTTGATTAGAAATGGAAAGTTTCAGGACTAATCAGATAGTGCTGACTTAAGAGGGCTTGGAAGCGGGAAAGAGGGCATCATTTCCTGGCAGGGAAAACCTGGAGGGGAACTGGTAGTGGAAGCAGGGCACCGCGAGTAGCCCTGGGGCGGGGGGAGGTGCCCAGAGCTGGAGCTGGGAAAGGGGAGGCGAGAGAACCCCCTCTTGGAAGTTCCACAAGAGCTATTCATTGAGCCATTAAAGCCACAATTGGATGTCCCCCAGGATCTCGTCCAACTCGAAGGTTTTGAGATTTGTTTTATTTTAGGTCTGTTGACTTGGAGGCAGAGAGAGAAGTGAAAACTAGGAATATCTGAGTTGTGGAACTGCACTTGGAAATGAATCATGAAGCCATAGCAGTGGATGGGAGAGGACTAGGAGGCAGGGAGCGGCCCGTGGGGGCGCGTTCCCGCCAGGAGACTGAGTGAAGCCGAGGTGCTTTGCGTTTTAGTCTGGTCTGTGTATGATGCTTTGTGTTGGTGCCTGTGTGGTTTCGAAAGTTCTTTATGTCTGACCCGCCCCTGATTTAGTGTTAGTTCCGCCGCCGTGGAGCCTGCCTGGGAATCTGCACAGAGAGAGTGAGAGAGCAGTGGCGTCAGCTAAAACCTACGTGGGGTTTACCTCACTTAGCCTGAGACATTTAAATAGTGATTTATTTAACATTAAGTAAATTGCATAATATTCTCAGACTTTATTGATATTAACGAATATTAACAAAAACAAAACCTCTTTTATAGTGATAGTTATTGTTATCCATTAATCATGATATTTCTTCCCATTGTGAAATACGTTTTTATTAAGCAGATTAGCCACACTGCTTTATGGCAGTTTTTTAGAGATGAAAATTTCTGAGTAGAAACCAAAATCATGAAATAAATGAAGATAAAATTGAACAGATGGAACAACAAAAAAGAAAACCAGAAAGTTTTCTATACTTTTCTTAGCAACATTAATTTACCTATCACTGCCCTGCAACCAAGTAAAACTCAAGCTCTGAAGGAGTAAGACTGTTTGATGGTACATGCAAAACATCTTATATTGAGCTAAGGAGAAATATTTGTCAAGATACTGTGGCGAGGGACTGTTAAGCAAGAGTCCATCAATATGCATACGATGAAATATGTATAATGAAACATTTCAACTAGTTAAGAGTCGTGTAGTTAGAATTTTAACTGAGTCATGGCCAAGGCTGTAGTCCAAGGATAATTGGAGATATTCTGAGATTAAAAATCCAGGCAGATATAGAAAATCCTTGGTAGGGCAAAGAGCCCACAGTAGGACACCTTTCATAGGACTTGCCTGATTTGGTTGGTAAATGTTGCCTCCTCCTCCTCCCGTCCACTGAAGCCTAATGTTAGAGAGGAGGAAGGTATTTCTAAACGACAGAAACTGGCAGCTCGGGAGGACCCTGGTAAAACAAAGAGTCTAACAGGCAATGGGCCAGTATGAGCCCAGAGGCCCTGCCTCATGTGTGGTTGGAAGGAAGCCACGAACAGGCCCAGGCCCAGCTGCCCCAGGTCAGAAGTCAGCAAACTGGGAGGGCCTTCGAGAAATTCCCTGGCCATGCTCCCTTCAAACGTTGAGACTGAAGCCCCTGGTATGAGCAGCCAGGTGCCAAGTCCCGAGGGGAGGTGGCGGGCGTTCTGTGAGAGCAGCGCCCGCAAAGACCGGCCCTCGGGCCAGGCCCAGCCCTCACCGCGCCAGGCAGTGCAAAAATCAAGAGTAAACAAATGCTTACAGCAATTTGACAGTTATTCTATAGCTGTAGAATATAATACTAATAAATTAGGCTTTGTATTTTGTATGAATGTTTTCATTGTTACTATATTTTACAAAATTATTAGTCTGCAAATAGATTGAAAATGAAAAAAAAAAAAACTAAGCCTTCACCACAGATAGTTTGAAAAGCAATGTATTAGAGTGCCCATCATGTTAACGACAAAGGTACCTTCTGTGTTTTTGTGTTAGATTACTCTGGGACGATCAACTAATCATGCATTCAGACCTTAATTTTCAAAGATCGGAAATTAGCCACCTGGCCTTTCCAAGGAAAATATAATGAAGTGAAATCTCTCCTTTCCTGGACCCTGCTGAAAAATGACTGGCTAAAACTCTTGATTGGGATGCTGGGCTATAAGTCCAAATAAATGACCCTAGCGACAAAAATAAAATGCCTCATATAGAAAGAATGGAAGCAATAATTGGGTTATCACAAACCCACCACCACTCTTAGATAAGCAGGCCCGACATGGTGATTGTAACATTAACTTTATATGTTAAAGGCTATTACTAAGATAAATACCCATTTATCGGGGATTTAAACAACCAGCAAGCTTCAACTGGAATTTTATGTATTTTTCTGTCCTGTTTTATGATAAAGCCACAAATGACAAGTTAAATTGTTAATATGAGGGATTTATTTAAAAAACTAACTGCCACCCTGTCTAGGTGGCTCAGTTGGTGGGAGCACCATCCAGGGCACCAAAGCATTGTGGGTTCGATTCCCAGTCAGGGCACTTAACCTGCATTTGCAGTTTTGATCCCCGGTCAGGGTGTATACAGGAGGTGGCCTATTGGTGTTTCTGTTTCACATCGATATTTCTCTCTGTCTCTCTCCCACTCCTTCTCTCTCTAAAATCAATAAAAACATATCCTAGGGTGAGGATTTTTGGGAAAGCAACTGCTGGGTTTCGTTACATGACATCGAATGCAGCTTAGCCTCCTAGCCCTGCTGTTCGTTGGACCCGCAGGCACTGGGAGTCACGGCGGCCTTGAATCACAGCATAGCTTCACTGTCAGTTGTATCTGCGTGTAATTCTAACTTTGAAAATCTGTAACCTGTCTTAATATACGTGATACCATCTCTAGCAGTATATTCAAGATATCTTATTCCAGATATCTTAAATATCT